AGTCGCCCCATGTGGCAGGTTTTTAGAGGTGTGATGATTTTTATGTGGTCAAATATTATTCCTGAACATATTCTTCGGAAAACAGGGAATTTCAAACTGCATGTCAGCTGGCAAAAGTTATTATTTATTTATTCAACGCCCGTGCTTGCATTTGACGCCGAGCCTCCCAGTACCGACTGACGATATCGTCAGCCGGGTTGCTGGTAAAAGTGGTAAGACTGTATTATGTGATGAGTGAGTGAATATTAATGTCGCACTGTTCAGCTACACGAGGGCTTTTCGCGACGAACCCCATAATTTTGAACCATGGTCAAGTGACGTGGATGACACCTGAGCTGAACTCATGAACTCACCTGAGCTGAACTCATGTAACTCATGACATGCTTGTCATGATCCGATACTTTGACCATTGGGCTACCACAGCCCTCTGTATTATGTGATAACCATTGTCGTTGACTTAGGCCTAATACTTTAAACAATCATTCAATTCATTTAGTCGAAATCTGTCCATCGGTCGAGTCGGTTTGTACATAAGTCTTCGAGGTTATGAGTTGAGCACATTTATTTGTTTCAAATTACCGTTTGAACGAATATTTGACAATGAATGCTACATACCGTCTATTTTTGAAGATCTCAGATAGCGCCTACTTTTGCTTAGGGGCCCAGGGCCTAAAAAAATCTTAAGATTTATCTGGGCCTAGGGCCTCAAAGAGTTTTAAAGCCGCATTCACACCAAGGCAGTCAGCGTCGAGCTTCTCACCCCAGATAAGTCTCTGATTGGCTAGACGTTCATTGCTCGACGCTGACTGCCTTGGTGTGAATGCGTCTTAAGACTTCCCTGCTCCTAAGTTTGAACCTCACTCAAGTGACGAGGATGAAACTTGGGATGGTACCACTCTCCAAACAAGCACATTACTTCAACGGGAGGACTTTGAATCTCACGATATATTTAACATGCACCAACCCTTCTACAGGGCCGGTCTTCAGCGGCACTAGGATTCAGACTCACGACACGATGGCCAAGAGTTTGCGACCATGACCACGATCTTTAGCGGCACCAGGATTCGAATGCAGGACTCAACAGAAACGCTAAAGGCCACGAGTTCATGACCATGATCCCTCAGAGAGAGAAAAATGTTCTCACAATTAATTTAAAATTTCCCTTATATGTTCTTAATATGGTAAAGCTTCTCTAAAATAATGTTTTACAAATTAACTAAAAACATTTGTGCACAAAAAAGTATATTGAGTGAAAAGAAAAATTTAAAAAAAAGTCAAGGTTTAAAAATTCAATAAGGACATTTTACAGTGAGAGTAATTCATTATTTTAGGTATTATTGTAATTGATAAATTATATTGCACAATCCGAATAAACAGCTTTAGTTTTGAAATATTTGCTTGTACGTTATACATTGCAAAGCTCTGACTCGTCAGTTTTTTCAATGTGATCACTTTTTTAAAAAATTTCTTTCTTAAATTTCTCAACAATATAAAAACTGATAGTAATGAATCTACGAAATGTTCTCGTTCCTTCATAAGCCACCAATCCTAAAAAAAATTTATGTGTATCATAGTTTAAGCAATAAATTTTGCGATATGACTAGTCAGATTCCAAAAATTGAATACTTGCACAAATGCGTTTGTGTTCAAATTCAGTTGATAAAAGTACTGACACAAAGCAGATATAAATTTATATATTTATATATACGCAATAAACCACGGAAATTTCCTTTCTTTTCTAAATGCAAACTATATTTTTTAAAAAACTCGACAAAATCTAGTTTTTCTGATTGATAATGAATTGCGTAATGTGTTTCATACCTGATCTCCCCACGAATTGATAAGCGGCATATTGATGTCATCTAAAATAATTGTTAGCTTCTTTCCTGCGGCAGGTCCGTAAATATTTCCTGCTCGTTTTTCGACGTAACTTTCAATGGTTTTCTGTAAATAAAAACATTTTTTTTCCCATCTATATTCATTTTGGAAAATTAAAACGTTTAACTTAAGTTATCAAAATCGATAGACAACATCAGACTAAAAGCATTGAAAAACAAACAGAAAGTATCTCTTAATTTTTTTAAAAAAAAAAGGAAATGATGTTTCTGAAACTTATGAAAGAAATCAAAATTTCAATTAAGAAATATATTAGTTTGTATTACCTTCAATGATATCTTGTCTTTCCATTATGAATTTTTTCTTTCTTTTTTTGCTGTTGCCGAAATTTGCCTGGAAAGTTTGCTATTTAATTCAAAGGTTTGCAGAAAATTGATTAATAAATTTATTAACTCAAAACAAAGCTTAATTTTTATTAATTTTTGGATTCCTTAGATGGTGCAGATTTCTAAGCCTACGATGTTTCTCGCTTGAAAGCTAGGCTACTTACAATTACCAAAAATCACTTCAATACCGATTTTTTTAAAAAACCTTCAGTAGTGTTCGAAAAAAAAATCTCTTGAAAGTGTTCATAATCATACCGTACGGTTTCAATGTATCCAATTTTGCACATCAAGACCTTTCTGTCTGTCTTTGCCCTACGCCGTACCTTCATACCAACACTTTTTTTTATTAATATATATTTTTTTTCTCCGTTACACTTATGAGAAGAGATTATAAGAGAGAGAGTAAAAGAAATATCAAAAATTATTCCCCACACGTGAGCGGGTTGATTGATTTAAACTTGAATGCGGTTAAACTCGTAAGTCTAAACTGCAGTTAAGTAACGAAGGTGAAAACAGAGAGAGCTGGCCCTCCACACTTCCAAATCAGGCCAGCACTGTGAGTGAGTGGACATTAACGTCGCACTCCTCAGCTACACGAGTGCTTTTGGCGACGGACCTCGTCACTTTGAGCCATAATCAAGTGATGAGGACACCTGACTGTCACCCCCTCTCCTAACTACCACACCACACCAACGGGAAGACATTTTAGCTCTCGACAGATTCAACGTGCATCGCGCCCCTACACGTCGAGTCTTCAATGGTACTGGGCTCGAACTCGGGACACGCCAGCCACGAGTCCGTTACCTTAATCCAGAGCTTCTCAAACTTTCAATGTTGGTGACCCAATATTCAATCAGAATTTTCATCGTGCCCCCCCTTCAATACAATAACAATGTATTGAATTCAATCAGTAACGCACACAGGAATTTTTAAGGGGGTTCCGGGGTCGAAAGTTCACCATTCTTGTATCATGCTCCGTTTGATTTTGTCGATTTTCGGGAACAAAACACAGTAAAAAACTAATTATTCAATAAATAATTAGCTCTCTTCTAATGATTAATAAAATTAATCATTAATAACAAATACTTTATTAAATTTTACGTACTATATACTTAGAATTAAAATCAATCGGAAAAAATCAAGAGCTTTGGGGGGGGGCGAACCCCCAGGACTCCCCTTGTGTGCGCCACTGAATTCAATAATACTATACTTTGACGCTGCAGCAACAATACAACTTCAACCTCTTAAGTACCAGCGTATATAAACGTCTAGCTCTGCTACAGCGTTAAGTGTCCCGAACGTATATGTACGTTTTTCCGAAGTCCGATCCTTTCTGTGCATTGCTATCCGTAAAATTAATCCGAAGGGTTTGGAATGCAATAAAAGGGCATTGAAAGTAATTCTGACGGATTCTGCTTATGTTCCTTTTCTCTCCCACCCCATACACCACATAAGCGCGCCTACGTGGAAAACGGTGGCACTGGGGAGCAACTAGCGTACCTTTTAATCATCAATTAAAGGATTAAATTATAAACCGTACAAATTATTAATATAAGTGTTAATTTTATATATGATAAGCTCATGGGGGGTCACTGGTATTTATTAATCTTGTTCTTAACTTAGTAATATTATAAGTTAATTATTAAATACATTTTGCGGTACTGATAATTTTATAAGTGTATGAAATCAGTGTAAATGTGTATTTTTTTTATTACGTCAGAATGGTATTTTGTTTGCTTAATTTTAGTAAATTTATAATTTTTTTAAATAATCATTTGTTTTCGACTTTTCAATATGCTCGCGCCCCCTTCGTAAAGTTATCATGCCCCTCTAAGGGGGCGCACCCCACAGTTTGAGAAACGTCGCCTTAACCCGCAGCCATCTTGCCAACATATGAGAGATTTTACTCGACATCAGCCCCTCAACAAGATGAGCTTTTACAGATTAAAATTGACGACTGGACAGGTGAGTGAGAGCAATATTAACATCGCATTCTAAAGCTGTGCAATAGCTACCCCCTCTACACGATGGGTCTTTAAGGGCACTAGACTCGAACTTATGACACACCCCAGCCACGAGTCCGTGACCTTGATTATTAGGCTACCGCAGCTACACGATTAGACGAAAATAAAGCAGCCATCATTTTGTGAGTGAGTGAATATTAACGTCACACTATTCAGCTACTCGAGTGCTTTGGGCGACGGACCAATTATTTTATCATTTCCGTGACAATACAGTGACTGTGGTCAATGAGTTGGAGATATTGCACTTAATTTTATTGTAGCTGACGCAGTGAGTTGATTTGATAGGTCTAGCCTGTATCAGGATTTAATCATTAGGTCGAGTATCTATTTTGATTGCATCTTGGATTTTGTAACACATCCTATGCTCATAGGATTATTTGTCCTCTCCAAGAAAGTTTGTTATATCCCCAAGCTGAGAATTTGCAACGTAATTCAGCTTATAGTTCTCCAGTAATAAGTAATATAAAAAAAATTAAATCAATTCTTATATGTATATATACTTATAGGTCAACAAAGAAATTTTTTATTTTAGTCACTTTTTATTAAATAATTACAATTAATATAAACATGTATATTCATATGACAGAATCACAATATTAAGTGGCAAAATAGAAAGCTATTTTACATTTTTCTTTTCTATATATGGGTTTTGGAATATTATTTTCGTTTGTTACTACTTTTATCCATTAATTAAACTTAATTATTCCAATAAAATAGTATAGTAAAAAAGGAATCCCATTCTCAAAAATTAGGTCACCTCTGGTGGGGTTCGAACCCACTATCTTCGGTTTAATAGTTCAACGTACTATTCATTGCACTACAGGTACACAACGAACGATTTTCCTTTTTATATATAGAGTGTTGGACTATTATTTTTGTTTGTTACTATTTATTCATTAATGAAACAGAATTAATGAATTAATATTTGAAAAAATGTATGAACATCAAGTGTCATCCACTACAAGTTTTAAAAAATGTATTTGAACTTGAGTGGATGAATAAAAGGTATTTTATCAACGATTGAAAAAATTTGAACAAAATATATTTATATATACACATATATATTTGTATATAACACGTTCAACCCTACTTTTATATAAATTATTTTATATATAAGAGCTATATTCTAAGTCAGTAGTGTTTATAATACAGCAGCATCCATATTTTTATATTTTAAATCTATTATATTTTTAGTTCCTCGTATATCCTTCCTAAAATCTTATATGTCTGGTTATCTTGCAATTTCAATTTGTTTAAGATTTGATTATTGAATATACATATATTTTTGTAGAGAATTTTGACTGTATACGTATATAGTGTGAACTTATAGTAGGAACTGAAAAATGAGTCTGTATATTTGGCTTTTTTCAAAGTTGTTATAAATAATTTAGTAGAATAATCTGTATTTTAAAATGCATAAGAAAAATACTTCGATGCGGTTTATTATAGTATAATTAATTCAAAGCAAAATATTTCTTGATTTGTGATTTAGAGTGAATGTTTCTGTGAAAGATGCTTTTTTTTAAATAATGTTATTTATTTCATTGTCTCTCTACTAGTGAAAAAATGCAAGTATTCTCTTTTTTCCCTTCAAAATAATGTATGTTATTTTTGACATATCAATGTGGAAAGTCGTTTGTATACCGGTTTCAGTCAAAATGTTTTGTCATTCATTTCTCACCTGAGAAACAAAATCCTCTTGAAGCAATACTGTCATCCTGTTACACTATTTCCCAATGAAAAACACGTGCGTTATGGTCTCTATTGGATGTCTGCCTTGGCACCTGGTATCCACTTCGAAATTTTTAACGTTAAAAGTATTTCAACAGAACAAATATGCTGCGAGACAAATCAGGCTTTGGAAATCTCAGTTTCAGATTCTAGATCATAATTGTCATCCAGTAATAAATTAAATAAATGGATGAATGAATGAAAAATGAATATAAAATGAACATAAAATGAATATATAAAATGAACATAAAATGAACACATGCTCAAATTGCAAAATTATTTCTTGTTCAAATTTGCGTCTGAAAACTTTTATTAAGTCTGAAATGTGTTCTTTAGTATGACACTTGAAAATTTATTAAACGTAACAGGAAATTGTATCTATTTTATAATTAGAACAATAGCTTTTATATAGTAAACTTTATTCAATAACAGTCTATTAAATGCTTTTATTTAATAAAAAGTAAATGAATATTAATTTTTTTCAAGGGAGTGAGAAAAAATATTCATATCGAATAAACTAACCATCTGTCAATGAGTAAATATTATAGAAATGTTTCATCATTTAGTATTTTAGTTGAAAATCCCCAAAATATTTTCAATATATTATAGAGCGTTAGATATTAAAAGATGTGAAAATATTTTGGGGTTACGTTCAATGAAGTCTCTGTTAGTGTAATAATTATTTATTAACTTAAGTTAGGTTACACAAAGACAACACATATATCATTAACAAAAATAATGGGCAAAGAACATGGATGATTTTATATAGCGACCACGTTGTTTCCTCACCTTAAACTTTACTGAAGATGGGTGGTCTATAGAGGACGTTTCTGCTAGTTGGAACAGTAAATTATACAGTTGTAACAAGAGTGGTTACAATATTAAATATATATTTTCAGTTTCTTACTAAATGTTGAAATAAAAATTCTTTTTTTTTTTTTTTTTTTTTTATTATTATTATTATTTTCAGAATTAAAGTTGTTGTTGTCAGAAAAATTTAAGAAAACTCAAAACAATCCAATACTTCATAAATTAAGCAGATACTACCTTAAAGTATCCAACTACATTCGGAACCGTGATTTTAAAAAAGCACATAAATGGATAATTTTCATGATATTTAGTGTCACTTAGACTAGAATACATGTATAAAATTGTTTTAAGGACAATTTGATAAAAAAAAAAATTTTTAATGCAATATTTTGGCAAAAAATTCACTTAGAATAATCTTTTTTTCAAAATGTTCTCCTTTTGTGAAAAATGCTTCTATTATAATAATATTTTGCCTGTATATAGCTCAGACCTCTGTACAGAGGCCCAACTATGATTTTTTGAAAAATTCACGTTATTTTCGGAGTTCGGTCTTCCGTGTGTTGTAAAATATGGATAATACCACTTCTAAGTTATATATTTCAAAAATTCTAGTTGAGCCTCTGTGCAGAGGTTTGAGCTATATACAGGCAAAATATTATTATAATAGAAACATTTTTCTCAAAAGGAGATCATTTTGAAAGAAAATTATTCGAAGTTAATTTTTTGCCAAAATATTGTATTTAAATAATTATTTTTTGTCAAAATGTCCTTAAAACAATAGTATACATGATTTCTAATCTAAGTGACACTAAATGTCATGAAAATTATCCTTTTATACGCTTTTGCAAAATCACGGTTCCGAACGTAGTCGGATACCTTAAGTACTAGAAACATCAATATCAACTTTACTTGAAAGTGCAAAGGTGTCGTGGCTGAAGAGAAGTTGACTGTTTTGCTGATGTGATTGTCAGAGTTAAACTTGGTAGTGTAGGCTTTCAGCATCACGGTTTTAGCGGTGCCCGGCTCTCCCAAGAGTAAAACAGGCTAAAAAAAAGACAACATGGTGCATGCAACAACAACAATTAATGTAATTACTTTTGAAAAAGTTATTGAGATCACTGTATTTTTAATGTTTAATACAGACAGATAAAAAGATTAAATCTTTCACTTATAAATCCAGTCTCTGCCAAAATTTAACCCATTTAATTCTATCGTTGTAGAGAAAATAAAACATGAATATTTTTTTTAAAAAAAATGGGTTATTTCATAGCTTAATTGTAAAATGTCATAATTTCTAGTGTTAAAAATTTACTAATTTGAAGTAAATAACACTTAAAAGAAATTATCAAATAAATATTTCATTATCAAAGAAATTATCAAATAAATATTTTATTATCAAAGAAATTATCAAATAAATATTGTATTATCAAAGAAATTATCAAATATAAATATTGTATTATCAAAGAAATTATCAAATAAATATTGTATTATCAAAGAAATTATCAAATAAATATTGTATTATCGAATAAATTATCAAATAAATATTGTATTGTCAAAGAAATTATCAAATAAATATTGTATTATCAAATAAATTATCAAATAAATATTGTATTGTCAAAGAAATTATCAAATAAATATTGTATTATCAAAGAAATTATCAAATAAATATTGTATTATCAAAGAAATTATCAAATAAATATTGTATTATCAAAGAAATTATCAAATAAATATTGTATTATCAAAGAAATTATCAAATAAATATTGTATTATCAAAGAAATTATCAAATAAATATTTTATTATCAAAGAAATTATTAAATAAATATGAAAAAACTGAATTATATTTGATTATAATATTAATAACTTAAAAAATATATTCTGAAAAATTTCTAAAATAACCAGAAAAGTCCTTAAAGTTCAAAGAAGTTACTTAAAAGGCAGGATGAAAAAAATTACTAGAATGCATACTTATCTTCAATCTGGAAGAGTTAATTACAAATTGCGTAAAAATAATCAATATATGCAATACATTTGCTGTATAAAATACATGTTATGGAATTCTAGTAATGGACAATTATGAGCTATTAAATGATTGATTATACTTTAGATTTCTAACATTGAATGAACTTTTATATATAAGAGCTTTTAAAAATTTTAAAAAATTTTCAAAGTTAAAATATATAAGACTACGTTTTTTTTTTACAATTTCAATTCCGCTATGCATTAATATCTCAAGAAGATACACCATTATTTTTTTTTTTAAAAAAGAGAAAGTTTTCTTACGTGTCCTTGTTTAGCTATTGTGTGAACGAGAAAGTCGGTGCGCACGTTGTCGATGTTCGGTACTAAAACTGAAATATATTCAGTTCCATTGGATGGGTTGTAAGCAAAGTCTGTTACCAAAGTTTTCCAATGCTTCCATTCGCCTTTAAGACAAACACAAAATTTATAACTTAAAAAAATTATTTTTAATGCTAATCAATACTTATATTTGAAACTTTCTATTATTAGAGTTTTATATATAAGCACATACATTAAATGCATAAAAAAATTAAATGTATATAAATATATGAGTCAAAAATACCAAACAACTATATGTCATTTAATATTTTTAAAGCTTCTCTTCTCATGCTCAATATTATTGTTCAAAAGTACAAATTCTCAATACTGTCGTTTACCGAGCCTTTTGAATTCGTTAATGTTATATCAATGTAATACGAATACTATCTATTCGTGAATGGATTTTTCTTCTCCATCTTAAACCAGATTAGTGTATCAGTTTGCTTGAATGCAATACAGGGCATCTGAAAAAGCAAAATGTAATGAAAGTTTCTCTGGAATCTGATTTCTTTTTTCTTTTACATCTGAATATATTTATCAATATATATTTCTTTAAGAACTTAAAACTTATAAATGAATCATTCTTTTATTCTACATCAAACCTAGGGATGGCTGTCATCAGTCTGAACGGCCAGCCCATTGCAATTCAGAGATACAATAAAAGCTAGAAAGATTTTCGACAGTTATAGCTACTGGTACGTCACCGAATCCGTAACAAGAGACTAAAGGACTTATGCCACGAATATGTATTGGGAGCAATTTTTCTTTCAAGTAACCCTTTGGAGCGATTTTTGCCCAGTTGACATAGCAACGGCTTCGAACAACTTTTCCCCAATGAACTGAAGGAATTGCTCGAAATTCCAGCCAATGAGGTTCTTCGGCTCCCTACGTCATAAACAAGATGGTGGTAACGAAGCTTCGTCAAATGCATCAGAAATGGCGTATA